ATTCAACTTATGAATTGGAGCATGAAAAGGGTTCAAATAGAGATTTTATCAGTTGGTTTTATTCAATTTTCTACGTGTTGCAGCCAAAGCCCCTGAAGAATTTGAATGGGCAAATATGCCAGATATGTGGAGATACTGTTGGGGTTACCTCGAATGGTGACATATTTGTTGCTTGCAATGAATGCGCCTTTCCAGTTTGCCGTGCTTGTTACGAATACGAGCGCAAAGATGGAAATCAGTCATGCCCCCAGTGTAAAACTAGGTACAAGAGACAAAAAGGTTAGTCTTTGTTTACTAGATTCTCCTCTAAATATGGCGATACGAATGTATTATGGAGCCCTTGACCAAATTATATCAACTATCTTTCAAAAGGAAAAAAAAAGAAAGAAATATTTTGAGCCCATTTTACAAACCACAAACCCCTTAGGAGGTAATGTTGAAATTATCAAAATATGAGCATCTATATTACTGTTTTGTTTAACGGATGAGAGCTTTTATTGTTTCTGCATCGTTTAGGGAGTCCAAGAGTGGACGGCGATGATGATGAGGATGATGTTGATGACCTGGAAAATGAGTTTAGTTATTCCCAGGGGAAAAGCAAGTCTAGATCTCAATGGCATGGGGATGATGTTGAGCTATCTGCATCTTCTAGACGTGAATCGCAGCAGCCAATCCCTCTTCTTACCAATGGGCAGCCAGTAAGTCAGCAAATCAAATTTCGCATCGCAATAAATTGTGACAAGAGATTCCAAAGCTTCACTTTATGATATACTGTATGTTTAGCACTTATAATCTTCTTCACATAATGGATAGGTTTCTGGTGAGATGCCTCCTTCTATACAAGACACTCATTCTGTCAGAAGTACATCAGGGCCATTGGGCCCTGGTGACCGTGTCCATTCACTCCCTTATGTTGATCCACGGCAGCCTGGTAGATACTTTCAGATAAAATGAAATTCATTAGGTAACAAGTCACTCAACTTTCCTTTTTGTACGGAACAGCTGATTGCATATTTAATTTCTGCAGTTCCTGTAAGAATTGTCGATCCTTCCAAAGACTTGAATGCTTATGGACTTGGGAATGTTGACTGGAAAGAGAGGGTTGAAGGATGGAAACTGAAACAGGAGAAAAATATTGTGCACATGAACAACAGATACAGTGAAGGGAAAGGAGGAGGGGACATTGAAGGAACTGGGTCAAATGGAGAAGAACTACAAATGTAATTTATTTTTTTCGCTTAAACTATATTATAAGTACCATTTGTATCATGTCATTGCTTTCGCGGCTTGTGGAAAATGCTAATAGTTTATATATGACAGGGCCGATGATGCTCGACAACCTATGAGCCGTGTTGTGCCCATTTCTTCTTCCCATCTTACCCCTTATCGTGTTGTGATCATTCTTCGATTGATCATCTTGGGATTTTTCTTGCAATACCGTACTACTCATCCAGTGAAAGATGCTTACCCTTTGTGGCTTACATCTGTTATTTGTGAGATTTGGTTTGCTTTGTCTTGGCTTCTCGACCAGTTTCCCAGATGGTACCCTGTTAACCGGGAGACATATCTTGAAAGGCTCGCATTGAGGTCAGTGGATAATTAATGCTCCATAACTGTAGCATTTTTTATTTTTTATTTTTAATTTTTTTTTTCTGAACCAACTTTTATATCTTATATGTTGTGTTGTCAGATATGATAGAGAGGGTGAGCCATCCCAGTTAGCGCCAGTTGATGTGTTTGTGAGTACAGTGGACCCCATGAAAGAGCCTCCTCTTGTTACTGCAAACACAGTGTTGTCCATCCTTGCTGTGGATTACCCTGTGGACAAAGTCTCCTGTTATGTCTCAGATGATGGTTCTGCAATGCTCACCTTTGAGGCCCTGTCTGAAACTGCAGAATTTGCCAGGAAGTGGGTTCCCTTCTGCAAGAAGCACAATATTGAGCCAAGGGCCCCTGAGTTTTATTTTGCTCAGAAAATAGATTACCTGAAGGACAAGATTCAACCTTCTTTTGTGAAAGAACGCAGAGCAATGAAGGTGAATGTCCTATTGTTGATTGTTAATATTTAATTTCATGGTGTTAGTTTTCACGTTTTATTCGAGAAGGTAGATTATCCTTATGTTTCGAGTCCCCTTGAGCTTCATATAATCAAAAGAAGACTGCCTTTTTTTATTATAATTTATTTGCAAATTTAATTTTCTGTTATTTTTGGTAAGTTCATCAAGTTAGACAAGGAAACAAAAGAAACTTGTAGTATAACTTTATTACTCAACTTTTCCTTTCCCCTCTTTTTTGCAGAGAGAATATGAAGAATTCAAGGTGAGAATCAATGCTCTTGTTGCAAAGGCTCAAAAAATGCCTGAAGAAGGATGGACAATGCAAGATGGGACTCCTTGGCCTGGAAATAACACTCGCGACCATCCAGGAATGATTCAGGTATGTGTTTAAAGTTTTCATAATAATTCCTTCACTGTATTATACGATTCCTAATTCTATAATATGCCTAAAAATTAACAGGTCTTTCTAGGGCACAGTGGTGGCCTTGACACAGATGGAAATGAGTTGCCTCGACTGGTTTATGTTTCTCGTGAGAAGCGACCTGGATTCCAACACCACAAGAAAGCGGGTGCTATGAATGCTTTGGTAGGAGATTTATGATCCGATGACTATGACTCTTTAATTTCTTTGTGAGCTTATTTAATAAATAGCAAATGATATCTCAGAATATGCTAGATTAACTTGTGACAAATGAGGAAACTGGTAATTAAGTAATTATATCAATTGAGACATGCATTGAATTTTATATCAATTGAAATGTAAGCTAATTGTTTTACTCTATTAGTTGAATTAATTCTTCACGAAAAGCATTTCAAAAGTATGAGGTGGGCCTTAAAGCATCCAAAGGACTTGAGCGTAGCATTTCCAGATTCAATCCATATTTCACCAGTATTTTATCATTTTCTTTCCTGAAATAAATAAACATCTTTATAATGTAATGTACTGTGTTTCGTGCTTCAGATTCGAGTGTCTGCTGTCCTAACGAATGGAGCATATCTTTTGAATGTCGATTGTGATCACTACTTCAACAACAGCAAAGCTCTTAAAGAAGCAATGTGCTTTATGATGGATCCTGCTCTTGGGAAAAAGACTTGCTATGTGCAGTTCCCACAGCGTTTTGATGGCATTGATTTACACGACAGATACGCTAACCGCAACATTGTCTTCTTCGATGTAGGTGCCATTGTGGTTTACATCTCTAAAATAAGTTATTTCAATAAACTACCCTAACACTTAGCCTAATTACGAACCTCCACTTATATTCGAAAAGAATTCAGATAGCTTTTAATTTTGTAACTCTACAAATGTTTTTGTAATTAACCCCAAATTATTGGTAGTTGCTTTT